AATTTTATTTTTTCCTGTCGTTACTTTTCAGAAAATCTAAAAACTAATTGCACATTCTCATTGTCACTTTATTAGGGCTATCTGATAGTATTTTTAGATTTTCAAATTAACTGATAAATTGTGAGATACAGAGGCCAACTTAATTTTTTTTAAATACTGACCTGCATTTTTTATTTCAGTTTTTGAAAGAACTCGGTCTGCTGAGTACAATAATATGCAACACTTCATATTTTTTTTGTTTCAGACATTTGAACACAATTTATTTAAACTAATTTCAAGCCAGGCTCTGTTTTTTTAATATTTAATCTATTCATCCTTACAATATTGATAAGTCTTCAAACTTAACTATGACGTGGGATAAAATATTGAATACGGAATATCAAATGCAGTAAAAATAAAAAATAATATAAATATAATATAAACAATCAAATCATTCACCCGGAAGATGAATTGGAAATGGTAATATACTGGCCAGCGAGATTCCTGAACGTCTCACCAAGGGGCGGGCGGCATAAATTTACGTCATTTGTAAAAGTGAAATCAAAATGTTTTTCAACATTTACAATAAAGAGTACAAAATGCATTCGGAAGTATAAGAAGATATGTTCAAAGAGTTATTAATAAAATTGAATTAATAATAAATTTGTGCAATAGGGAGGGTAACAACCCTAGTTTGATGAAGCTGATTTATATAATAACTAGGATTATAATGTTATGCATATTATTAGATCGTACACTGAGATTTCAAATTCACAATAAAATAAAAATATTATCTTTAAATTGCTGACCTGGATATTATTTATTTGAATCTTTCAATTCGCTCAATTTGGTTTATTTAATGTTAATTAGGGCTGATCAATATTGTTGCGATCAATATAATCAGATTAAATAATTTAAAAAACCATAGTCGGACTTGAAATTATTTTATATAATAATTAACTAGTTTTGTTGTTGTTAAGGTACCCAAAACAAAAAAAAGTATAAAGTATGACATATCATTGTACTCAGGAGACCGAGTTCTTTCAAAAACTGAAATAAAAAATGCAGGTCCGTATTTAAAAAAATTAAGTTGGCCTCTGTATCTCACAAATGATCAGTTAATTTGAAAATTTAAAAATAGTGTCAGATAGTACTAATAAAGTGGCTATGAGAATGTGTAATTAGTTTTTTGATTTTCTAAAAAGCAACCACAGGAAAAACTCAAATTGATTTTCCAAAAAATCCGTTTTTTCCAAAAAACTTAGCGATCCTTGAAATTTTTAAAACTTTTTTGATGCCATCTTGGTGAACATTTCAAGGCGCAACTTTGCCCCAATTTAACCATCTTCGTATCTATTACGGTTTCCGAGATACCAATGCTCATACCTCGAATTTGTAGCACCCTGTATATTGATTTTGATTTTTTTTTTGATGTGTGCAGAACTTTTAGAATGCTGGGTCGGACTAAATACAGTTTTATAAAACAAAACTAATACAGTTTTATAAACATTTATTTTTACAAACTACACCAATAGAGGTTTGAATAAAATCAAATTAGAATTAGACCATCTATCAGTAGTTGTTTTTTTCAAAGGTATTTTATAAAGATTAGTCACTGTTTCAATTAATCGGCAATAGAGATATTCTGTTATTTTACGTAGGTATTTTCTCACTCTCTAAATGGTAAACAACGGTACGGCTCTTCTTTCTTGTTCACATAAATAGGCCAAGAAATTTAATTTCGAAATTTCGATATTACGTTGATTTACTTTAATCAACTTCGTTAACCACTAGGGAGCGTAAGAGCAAGCCTAAATCAAAAATATCAAATTTCTCTTAAATTTTATGTAAGTATGTATGTTAAGATAAGCACTGAATATTCATCAAAATTTCACACCTTTTTGCTTTAGACCATTGTTATGTATTATCAAAAATAACGTAACAATAAAATACCCAACTAGACCAGTAAGAACAGATAACTAAAAGGAATGAGATCACTATCTCTGCTTATATTGTCTATACATATTTATTTAAATTGATATTACGATTAGTTAATCTTGAAATAAAGTTGGTTGTGGTATCAGAATTTAAATTTTAAACCGTATTTTTGGGAAATACTCAAACTGGTTTTTGGCCTCTAAATCATACCGGGTTATGAGTAAATTGGTCAAAAGGAGTTACCTCCCTATTATTCAATAAAGTTAGTGAATTGAAAACAAGACAATGGATTGTGCCTATCTTCCTGATATTATCTATATATACAAAAAAAGTTCTTATTACACTGAAAACTGAAGAAGATTTGTGTGATGGCTTTATTTTACATCTACTCCAGTTTTTAGTTAGTACCATATGCGAGTATACAAACTTTATTGGTGGCTAATAAAACTCTGGGTCTACCCTTACACACTTAATAACACAAACTAAAATGCAAAACCAATTCACAAATATTTATCATTTTCCAGAACGCTGGTTATTTAACATAATTTGACACAAATGATAACCTATATTTTGGCAAGAGTTTGAAAAGTTTTAAAAAATCTTAAGTCCAGTTCATACGCATCTCTGCCTCCGGACGTCATTCATCGTTCCCGCGCTGCAACCATAGTAAAATATATCCAAAAAAATCCTTTATGGGTATTTCGCCACTGCACTGCAAGAAAAATCTACAAAATAAAATAGTTATTTTTTTGTAAACACTTCTGCGTTAAACCTAAACGGACGCTGCTTGTCAGAAGTTGTGTTTACAGTAATAAAAATTTGCCTAACAAAGAAAAAAATGCTTAACGTTTCGGAAAGTTTTCTCTTTCCGTCGTCGGAAGCAAAAAAATATAAAGAATCAAGAAAAAAACTATTTAAAATATTTAAATTGAACTATTCAAGAACACTTTACTTTTTAAAACAGATACGTCTACAAGAAATCGTTGACGTTGTAGACGTATCTGTTTTAAAAAGTAAAGTGTTCTCGAATAGTTCAATTTAAATATTTTAAATAGTTTTTTCTTGATTCTTTATATTGTTTTGCTTCCAACGACGGAAAGAGAAAACTTTCCGAAACGTTAAGCATTTTTTTCTTTGTTAGGCAAATTTTTATTACTGTAAACACAACTTCTGACAAGCAGCGTCCGTTTAGGTTTAACGCAGAAGTGTTTACAAAAAAATAACTATTTTATTTTGTAGATTTTTCTTGCAGTGCAGTGGCGAAATACCCATAAAGGATTTTTTTGGATAGATGAATCCGCCACATAGGTACAGTACGTCTGTCCGTTCTGTAGCTACGGGGTATCCGTGAAAGGGGAAACGATATTCTCTCGATGTTTTTCGTAAAAAAATAAACGACGCGTACCATCAATAAAAATTCGACAAATTTGCAAGTAGCCAATAAAATGAGTGGGCGGAGCGATTTGCGGTGACGTACTCGGCAAGTCGACGTATAAAATATATTGCTGTTTATTTAAATGTTTTTTGTCCGCATTCCTTTCATAGACACAGATCCAGCAGACGTGCAGTATAGACAATTTTTACATAGTAAAATATCCTATCTGTCATTTTTGAAATAAACCAATATGACTGGTTAAAAACAAGAGACGACGCATGACGGATTTATACAGGGTGTTCCTTAATGACATTCTAATATTTAAGGAGGTGATTCTTCGACCTATTCTAAGAGAAAAACTTCATATGAATGTATGTACTAAACATCTTAATTTCTGAGATACAGGGTGGTAAATTTTTCTAAAAAAACTTTTCATAATAACTCTGATTTTATTACAGATATCTTTATGAAACTTGATACGCGTCTTCTATGCATCAAAATACCTTTTTTGGTCTACAAAGAATTTTATTCGTTTCAACCAGTGCCGTCCATGCGGGTTTTACATTGAATATTTTTGGAGAAAAAAAATGGTATACTACTGAATAATAAAAATTATTTTCTAAATCTTTATGACTATGAACTATATATTAACTAAAGTATATCGACTCCAAACTGCATTATGTGAAGCCAAGCCGGTGAAATGGATATATAAATCTTCTGAAGGAATTTGCATAAGTCGCTCAGTTAGCTGTGCTCAAGCGTAGTGCGCAAGCCGGGATTTTGAATTATTGATCGGATCACCAGACGAATAAGAGACTAGACGCTAGCACCAACTGTTCATTCGTACGGCTCCGTCCAACTTCGTACGGCTTTCATTTGCGTTCCCGTTCGACAATTGGCTAATCCTCAGAGTAAGGGCTAATCGATATTCGGAATTTTGGAGTTGCGCTGTTGCGCCAGTATCTGCCTAACAGATGAACTTATGTTAAATATACATGGACCGGTTATCTAGTTGTCTCTAACTCGGCTTCAATTTCAACACATTGCAGGGATAGGCGATAATCAGTATATATTTAATATGTATATGCTATGAACGGAACTTTTTCGAGTGTCTTAGATCGTTGGAGGACACCCATTCCAAGTTACGGATGGAGTCTTCCAGATTCTTCAATTCCGCTTTCAGTTGGTTCCCGTTTGGAAAACAGAACGGTTCTGGTTCAGTTAGTGGAGTGTTCGCTCCTTTCCTAGCTAGATCATTTGCTTTTCCATTGCCTTCTATCCCTTGGTGAGCAGGCACCCAGAATAGGAGGACTTTATTTTCTTTGCCTAATTTGTTGAGCTTCTCTAGGTTCTTTGATCAACTTCGAATTGATGGTTACTGAGTTGATTGCGTTAAGTGCTGCTTGACTATCGGATAGGATGGTAATTTCCTGTTTTCGATAGTTTCTATCTAAGATAAATTGTACGCATCTTTCGATAGCGTAAATTTCTGCCTGAAGGATACTGTGGTAAGTGCCTATTGGTTCGGAGTATTTAGTTTTCGGCCCAAATACTCCTATCCCTGTCATATATTCATATGAAGTTCTTTTCTTAGAATAGGCCCAAGAACCAACCACCTTCTTAAATATTAGCATGTCATTAAGGAATACCCAGTATAAAACCTATCCATAGTTAACCTAAAAAATATTAGAAACTTTTTTATTTTTAGGTGGCATCCTCCAAACAACGAGACGAACTTGCATCTTTGGGCTCGGATGATAGCGGCATTTTATGCGGCTCTGATACCAGCGATCAAACTCGTGAGTCTAGCGTGGAACTGACCAACGAGAGCAGAGAGAGTCTCGACGATTTGGATAAACCACTGACGACAGAAGAAGAATGTAAAATTAGTGAGGTCGATGAGAACGACCAAAGGACTAAAAGGTTGCGCGAAATTGTAAATAGTGAGAACGGTTCGAGTGAGAATAAACCAGCGATGAGAAAAAATCCGCCAACTAAGAGTTCTGGAATGTTGAGGCTCTTAGAGAGTAAAGTTTTTGATGTGCCTATGGCAATGCATTATTTATTTAACAGCAAAGAGCCAGGGGTAAGTAAAAGTTTGAATAGATTACATTATTTAAAATATTATATTATTTATATTTTATTGGTATTTTGTAAATTAACAGTTTCAATATATCTATTACCACACCGTACCTAATAGTTGGGGATTGCAAATTTACCGGTAAACGGTAATGTAAAACATGGAATTACCGGTTTATCGATACTTACCGGTGTTTCTATATCAGAACCAGCAGAAAAAAATTAAAATATAAAAGCAACCTCTATCAAACACAGCATTTCAAACATTTCTTCTAATTCCTTCTCAAAAATATTATTTTTTCTGTTTTTTATTTCTGTTTTCATGTTTTGGGCAATAACCATAGATATTACTTATTTTACAGCTGGTTAAGCTTGGTTACTTTTTTCTGTTGAATTGTAACTCTGTTGATTAAGGAAATATTTTCCTTAATCAACAGAGTTACTGACGATGTTGAAGGAACCGGATTAGCGCAATTCAACTTTGATTTTTTAGGGACTGTCGGATTCAGTAGCGTCGTGTTCAATTTTTCATTTTTAACTTAGAGATGTTTTGAACTAGTTATAGTTTTTCATTATCAAATGGAAAGGCGATCGGAATAGAATGGGACTTTTAATTTTGGCACTGTTTCTGTTGGCCTCATTGCCGGCATCGTCTGTACAAACCATTTAAGAGTTCCAGTATTCGCAGTTGTTTTCGGAATATATACTATTGCCTTTGTTATAGCTGATTTTGTTCTATTTTCATTCCGTAATTTTTAGAATCGGATTGTTCGCAATCAGGATTATGTATTGAAGGGCATCGACACTCGATATTTAAGTTATGTTCTGATTTGTTACCTTAGTAAGCCTACATTTTAAAGCAACATTAATTTTCGCAAACATTTCACAACATCGATCGTCATTTCCAAGCCAACTGGAGGTCATTTTTCATGCCACCACAAATACGAATAAATTAAATTTTAATGTAAGAGTAATGTTAGAATTTTGTTTCTATTTGAGTGTGGCTGTGGCGACATGTGGCATAATACTATGTGTATTCTGTGCGTTTTGCTTATCGTGTGTAATATGCTACCATATGATCGAAAAAACGCCGCCAGATTTGGAATAGAAATGACAGTCGCTGACATTTCATATCTGAAGCTGTAAAGCGAATGATCGTAATTTCCAAGTCTACTTGACGCTCTTTTTTAAATCATACAGTATTTATCGCACACTGATAGATAGTTGTAGATGGTATATAATAGTGATTCATAACTTTAAATTATTTTCTTAATTTTTTCTCTGCTTCTTTAAAAAAAATACTTATAAAAGATTCAAACAATAAATTATCTTATTTATTGACGTTTCTTAATCTACATAAATAAACCAGACATTATTAAGATATGTTTATTATCTTTGCTACTGATACAGAAATTTCAATTAAATAATGTTTATTTTTGACTTGTCTCGTGACGCCAGCAAAAATATATAAAGAGTCGATTAAAATTCTTTAGGTAACAATTAAAATTTTCAGTTCATTTACTTAAATACCGGGTGCGTCTCAAAAGTGGCTAATCCTTATAACTTTGTTATTTTGACAGTTAAAAAACGAGATTTGGTATGATGTTAGTATATGACTTAAATTAGGATTGATTGACTTATTCAATTGTTTTCGGTCACTTCCTGTTTCACCGGAAATGACTACAACTTTTGATTTTTAAATGGCACCCTCGCTATTTTTTTACTTTATTCGATAGAAAATAACACTCTGAATAGAATGACATATCATATGTCAACTTTTGACATTTTCGTATATGGTTTATTTCAAATTGTAACATGCGGTTCATAATGACAATTTGACTTGAAATACCAAGTGTGTGGTACCAAATTATTCGTAAAAAAATCTTTTTCCAAATATGCTAATGAGCCACCCTCGTACCATTTGAGAAAATTGAGATATGAGTAAAATACGATTTGAGCATTTTCTAACTGGCCAGGACAAGACACTAAAAACATTAGACGATCAAATCTATTTTTCCAAGGCTCCTTGATTAAGAATTAGTGTTTTTAACATAACCATGAAACCATGGCAATCTAGATTGAATTTTAAAATTCAATTTTGTTTTAAGCGAGAATGTCAAAAGTTGACATATGATATGTCATTCTATTCAGAATGTGATTTTCTATCGAATAAAGTAAAAAAATACCGAGGGTGCCATTTAAAAATCAAAAGTTGTAGTAATTTCCACTGAAACAGGAAGTGACAAAAAACATTTGAATACGTCAATCAATTCTAATTTATGTCATATACTTACATACCAAATATCGTTTTTTTATCTGAAAAAATAAAGAAGTTATAGGGGTGGGCCACTTTTGAGACGCACCCGGTATATGTTTATTATATGTTAGCATAGACTTTGCAGTGAAAACATTTATTTATTTAATAACAATGCTAAATCATAACATATTTTAAACTGACAATTAGTTCACTCTGTTCAGTTTTTGACAAGATAATGGAAACTAAAATTTAGACTGTTTATTAACATTACTGATATAATATGATCAATGACCATCCCAATCATTCTGACGTTAATAGACATTAGTCAGAGTCAAAGACTGCTTGATCATCAAATTTTTTGATAGTCCGGTATTATTTATTAATTATACCTCATGATCGGAAAAAAAAACAGCTTCACAGACTGCTGGGCACGGAAATCGATAATTTTCGCGAGGTTACTCTCTAGACGCCATTTACTAAAAATTGACATAAAAGTTGTCAAAAATTACCACTAATAATTAAAAACCTTGAGGCCGAGCGCCCACGGTTGGATTATTTTGAGACAAAAGTTGCAAACTAGTTTACAATCAGTTTCCGGAACTAAGAACTAAAGTAAAACTTCTACACGCATACGGATGCAATTCATTCTGAATCAGTTTTAACCAGTTGGTGTAGCAGTTCAGTTAAAAAAAAATACAATGTCAAATTCCGAATATTGAGAATCAGATGATGAAGACCACATTAATTACACAAGTACCGCAGATAATGCAGTACTCATGGAGAGTACTGGGTCCATCAGTACATGCTTTCTCTATCACGTCTTTCTTGGAGTAGCACAGAATGTATATAATTATAGAGTTCTTTGGATTTCTCAAACTCTCTGACAAATTTTATGTTCAGTTCTTAATCGCCCATTTTGAAATATATAAAATAACCACTTGGAAATCACTTAGGCTGTATTCCGTTGCAAAACCAGGCGAATCAGACCGGTAAACTACGGTAAAGAACGGTTCCTGAAAAACATCGGTTTGATACGGAACGGTTTGGTAAAATACTGGAAACGTCATATGTTGACGTTTTCTAAATTTCAATACCTCTATTATAAAATTTATCTTTTAAGCATTTTTAATGTGCCTATTCTCTGCTTTTACGTTTGCTTCTTCTTTTCAATGGAGTTTAATATTGAAAAGTACTTTATTAATAAACTGTTAAACTCGTTAGACAGCTCAAGTGAACATTTGCAGGTCCAATATTAAAACAGGTCGATAATAAATAAACAAATTATTCAATATTTATATTTCTATAGCTTACAAAACATTCACGATTACTTGTTGTCTTTTTTTTCATGTTTTCTTTAAATGTTCCTGACTTTAAGAGACAATGACTGCATGATAAGTTTAAATGGTCCTAAAAAGTAATTATATTTAGTTAATGAAATTTATATACCTTTACTGCCTACCTCCATTGCTTTTGGATGTAAATACAAAATGTTATTACAAATTTTAGAAATTAAATGAGAATTTCACTCAAACTTACAATATTTGCTTGATTTCTGTCACATAAATGACATTGATTGACAAACAAAACCAGAAAAACCAGCCTTTTCGCGCTGGTTAGTTTGGTGACAGTTATAACCAAATTTTTTAGGAACCGTGTTCCGTAATAAGAAAACTTTCAGGAAACCGATAGAAACGGAACATAAAACCATAACCAAGGTAAGCAACGGAATACACCCTTAAATACTCGCATCTTTAAAATTGCAACGCAACTGCGACCGCGGGAAATGGTCGCGAACAACATATTTGAGACTGATCGCAAACTAGTTCCATTCGAATCGATTCGTGTGCGGCTTTACACTACTATACGTTACTAAGGTTGTAAAATACTTGCAAGTTCCATCAAACAGCAACTTTTGTCACAAAACAGTTACACCGTGGACGCTGGGCCTAAGTAAGAAACAGGCTAAGTGCCAAAATAACAAAACAGAGTTATTGAGCATATTTCTAACTTAGTGGGGGTACAAATGCGCTAATTTCAATCGTTGACTGTAAAGACAGTTTTAGGTTTATATTTTTTAGGCTAGCATATTTTTAAGATAAAACCACAATTTTCTTTTTTTTTGCACTTAACCTGTTTCTTACTTACCATCTTCAATTATAGAAAGATTAAAAAAGGATAGAACGTTTACAGACAGACAAATCTATTTCCTATTTTTTTTTCTCGAATTTCAAATTACACCATTAAAGGCATTTTTACTCAATTTAAAAATAAATTACAACCTTCTTAATGCCAACCGGCAGTAAGCGCCATTAGAAATTAAAGAAGAGTACGGGCCAAGTAAATGACGTCTAAAGCTTGACCTTGCCAAAATTAACATCGATTTTCATACCCAGTCGTCTGTGACGCTGTTTTTTTCATATGATACAGATATTGTTCTGTACTTGACGTCTCTCAATACATTAATAATTGTATTTAAAAAAAATTTTTTGACTTCCAGGTGCTCTGTTATATTGTCAATAAAATGTTTACATTTGATGACAGTGAAGTGGATTTTTACTTGCCACAACTTGTATGTATGTACATAGAAATACCAGAAGTTGCCGAGGTGATACATCGTTATCTAGTTCATCGGTAAGTTTTATACAGTATGATCAAACCAAACCAAACCAACTATATATTTATAGTCTGTCAAACGAGAAGATCCTTGACAGTGATAGATGTGTCTGTCATTTTAATTTCAAAGTAGTTTATTTTATTTTACAAAGAAATAAGTTGGTACAACTGGAACGCATAGCAGGAAATTAATGGTCGCGTTCATCAGGATAAGTTGATCAGTGAGCGATGTGCCATCGATTGGTTGTCCTGCTGAACGCGCTTTTTAGCATCCCTTAGACAAGGAACTCTCTTTCCTTGTCTAAGGTCAGTAGGTCAGGTATAAATCATCAGTAGTGCATATAGTCTAAGTCATAAGTAAAGCATATTAAATTGTTTTCATCCTTTTTTGGCACAAATCGAGGGGATTAGTCAACCGAGAACAATAAAGAAAATGGTTTGTTTTCGTTTTCCAAAACATTTTGTGACATTTGGCGTATGTGACGTTTAATCCATCATGCATCGGTAGCGTAGCGTATTTTAAATCTGATGGAAAAAATGGCGACTGATCCCAGAGCGCTCACAACTAATCGGCGCGTTCAGCAGAAAATTAGTGATCGCTGCGGTAGCGCTACGTCCTGATGAAGGCGACCTATATTTATTTAAAATTTGACTGACAAGTAACTTCAAAATATTGTGAAAAAAACTGCATAAAACTGAAAAAATGTAATCGGGTTATTTTATTTAATAAAAAACGGTATGTGTTAATACAAAACAAACAAAAACAAGACACCACATACCAAAAAATATATAAAAGAACTATTTCTTACTTTCAAGCTTTATGAAACTTCCCGCATTTATGAGATTATATTTATCAATATAACTTATCTACAAATACAGATTTGTAATATTCCGCAGGAATAAATAAAACAACACAAATAAAACAAACTATTTTATTAATAATAACACTTACCAAATTTTATACCTCACAGGTTGATTAATTAACTTTAATCTTAATTTTTTTAAACCAGTACCTTTTGACATTATTTTTCTGCAGTACTAAACTAAAATCCATTATTTACCTATCGTGTGATGTCGATATTTTACAGCTACTCCAGTTTTTAGTATGTGTTTAGTATGGTCCTTCTACCATATTCGAGATGCACTTATCTACGACGAGATGGTATACGAACTTTATTGATAGTAACTTTATTGGTGTATCTGTATAAGACCACAGTATAAGACTTTCTGCCTGGGCAGCGAGTATTAACCATAAACGAATCTGGGTTCTACAGTTAATTTTCACTCGATTTTTCCTCTACTTGACTTCAAAAGACACAAAACACACGTAATAACACGAATCAAAATGCATCATCTTCCAAAACGCAGGATATTTGACAAAAGTTGTCACAAAATTATAACCTATAATTTAGCAAGACTTTGACAAACGTCAAAAGCCTAAAGGCGAGTTCATACGCATCGGCGTCCGATTGTCGTTCATCGTTCCGCCAAACCAATAAAATTGAAATACGATCTGTCATTTTTGAAATAAACCAATAAAACTGGTTAAAAACAACAAGTGACGACGCATGACGAATTTATATTTAAACCCATCCATAGTTAACTTAAAAATTATTAGAAACTTTTTTTAGTAAAATAAATAGATTGGTATGGGACGTCATCTGCTTTTCTTCTGTCATCGTCAGTCGAAATCTTACCTGAGAAAAAAAACAGAGTATATCAGGGTTGGCATGATTTAAATCAAATGATTTAAATCATGATTTAAATCGTGATTTAAATCAAGTGATTTTTTAAATTTTAATCATGCGATTTAAATCAAAAAATCAACTTTTTTAAAACTTTACAATAAATCGAAAAATAACTGTAAAAGTTATAAAAATGTGTCCTAGAAAACTATAAAAAATATTTCTATAACATATATACCCTATTCATTAAATAAAATGTTACACTTGCCAGTTTAACGGTTAAATACGTCTAATAAATCTAGAATAAATTGGAAATGTTATAAAACTATATAAAAAATGTAGAACACATACACCTACACATATCCATTTACAATTATTACAATTTATGTACAAGTTACAAAAAAAATGTTGTACGAATACATTTCATTCGCAACCTCTAGTGCAGAAAAAGGTTCTTTTGATGTTAGACTATACCTTCAAATTGTTGTCAGAAAATATGCTGTTTTATATCTTTTTATTTTACACTTTGACAATAGATAATACTAATTTCATTCTCCACTTAAGACTATTTCCGAACAATAGTGTGTAAGGAGTAAAAATTATACTTTTTTTGACAAGGTTGTACGTTTGACGCATGATACAAAAAAGAGGCACAAAAGTACATTTTTACTCCGAGTAGAATATACTATATTTTTACAAATTAAACATTACAAATAATTTTTTAATCAATTTCAAACGTTGCAAATAATATAAAAAGTAATGCCTTGGAAATAATCGAGTAACAATTTGTACACTCGTTGAAATTGATACTCTTGTGACATTTCAAAAAAAATCCTTTTGATCTGAAGCGAGCGACTTTTTTGCGGAATATATTGGTGACCGATGTGGGAAAATGACACGCGCCGTAGGATTGTTAATGTTATCAGTATTGGTCAGAGTTATGAAGATTTGGCCATTTAGGATAGAACTTTAATTGGAATTAAGTCCTAATTATTTGGAAATCCGATTTAAATCATGTTTTCTATTAAAATCAAAAAAATCTGATTTAAATCAGAAAAATCTGATTTTTAAAAAAAATCATGATTTTTTCCAACCCTGATATTTATATTCTTTAAACTGTGGTATGACATTCTTAAATTATAATTTTATTAGTTTGAAAGTTACTTTTACTTTTTAAGAATTTAACTAAACGTTCTCCAACCTACTGTGAGTACATATCAATGTAAAACCTCTGACTAGGGGTAGGGGACTCAAAAAACTCACAATCTTTTAGGATGTTTATTTCAAAATTTAATTTGATTTAAAATTGGGGCGACATGTTTCGGGATTCATTTAATTCCCATCTTCAGACTCAGAAAGACAAAAGTTATACCAGGAAGCCATACCACTCGGAAAAAATAAAACAATTGGGTTGTTAAAATTCATTAAACAATTATTTTACTCATTGGAATTGCAAACCAATCCAATTTCTCAAAAGAAAAACCCTTCGTTGTTGTTCTAATCAATAAAGGCTTATACCATAATAATTATGGTATAATTACTACCACTAATACTATACTTTAGACGTTGATCCTTGTCGAAATAGGAAAAATATTAAATAAAATAATATAAGACTGTGTTTAAGAATTATGGTATAAGCCTTTATTGATTAGAACAACAACGAAGGGTTTTTTCTTTTGAGAAACTGGATTGGTTTGCAATTACAATGAGTACAATTGTTTAATGAATTTTAACAATCCAATTGTTTTATTTTTTCCGAGTGGTATGGCTTCCTGGTGTGACTTTTGTCTTTCTGGACCTGAAAATGGGAATTAAATGAATCCCGAAACATGTCGCCCCAATTTTAAATCAAATTAAATTTTGAAATAAACATCCTAAAAGATTGTGAGTTTTTTGAGCCCAATACTCCTCGTCAGAGGTTTTAGATTTTAAGAATTTTATTATGACTTATGTGATATTTTTTTATACTATCAATTATGCTTATTAGGATTGTTTTATACAAATTTAGGTATTTCCATTTTTTTTATAAAAAGGCCCAAAAACAGGAATAACACTTTAGAAAAAATAATACAGTGTATAACTAAAATGGGTATAGTGTTTCCAAAGTAAGTTGAAATGCTTTGAGGCTCATAATTTCGGTACTGCCTTTGTCGACATTGTCTGGACAAACAACTTAAGAGTCCCAGCGACTCTGGAAATACTTTATACTTTTATTTTGAAAACATACATATACCGACCAAAAATAAAAAGTCTTTCAGAAAATGACTACTAAATTCTGTCTGACGCAGTGTTGCCAACTATTTGAAATGGAATTTCCCACTAAGACGGTCAAAATAATTTCCCGATTTTACTAAAAATTACCACGAATTACTCAAAATCAATTATAGTATCGTCGAGAGATAATATTTGGGGAGGGTTTTTCGTTGCTGTTTACGCTTTCCTCCGACGAACTAGACATTATTAACATTTATTTTCCAAAAATAATACCCAGTATTTGTTTTTTTGAATCACTTTATTTACTACTTTACTATCAGAATATAAACGAAAATAAAATAAAAAAGATTTTACTCCGAGCCGGTCTCGAACTCGGACTCCTCGCTTCATAGGCGGAACCTTTTTATAGCTCGGTTTATATTCAATACTAGAATTTAATAAGTACTAATAAAAATATAGTATTTTCTTTCAATGCGCAGTAGTGAACGTAGCGTTTACCGGTTGCCGGACAGCCCGCACGCTGTTCCTGAGAGCATAGTAAAAGATATATCAAAGAGCCAGCTTTCTTAAAATACTTGTTTTCCCGACGTTGCTAGCTCTCGTACTATTAGATTGGTTACTGTTTTTTTTATGGAAAAAAGCGAAACTTTTAGTACTCAACCACATATCCTGCAATTGAAAAAAACACGGCGTCAGAGTTTGCTTGGAAATAAGAATCAGTGACATTTTACATATAAAATTATAAGGTGAATGTCGTCGATTGCCATTTCAAAGTCAATTCTAACACCGTTTTTTCAATGATATGATATTTAATTAGATGGAAACATTTTTCTTTTGAATTGACGAATATGTATTATTTTCGTAAACAACTAACCGATCCGACATGGAAAATACCGCGAAATTATATCGGTTCCGTGAGAACGTTTTTTTTAAATTGTTACAGTTTTGTTTTGCATGCAAATTGTTGAAAGGCGTAAATATATACTGGGTGGTGCATCGTCGTTAGAAACATAGGAACAAACGAATCCCGTGCAAATAATTTTGAAGTATCAAAATATTGACTCCCTTATTAACTTTACAGCTAAGTCGTAAATAGGTTTTGTAAAGGTCTGCCTGGAG